TAATGTTCTTCGTTGCTAAGCCTTATGCTTTGCACAATGTATGGAAGCATTTTTACCAGAAGCTTTAAGAGAAAATACAGGTAACACTTTTAACTCATATATTTCAGGTCAGTGTATTTATTTATTCGTCAAGAAGCAATGTAATAAAATGGATAATCTGACCGTCATTAATAATCTGACCTCAGGGATGGGCAGGGACGCATTAAGACCTCATTGGGCCCCGGGGCTATGACTTACTGCATGGCCTCCCATCACAATAATGATATATATAGCTTAAAATAAAATTTTTATCCAATCAAAATTTTTGATGCATTGCAATTTCACAATTCTTGTTACCAATTCCAATATCACAAAATAAAAAATACTAGCCTAAGTAAAAACAAACTTACTGAAGACAAGTAAACAGTCATGAATTACAAAAGAACAAAGAAATTGACCTACAAACACAAAGCACTGAATAAGAAATATTAGGCTATATTGTATAAAATAAATAGACTACAAACAGACTGAATAGTCTTCACTGCATAAATTCAATATACATTATTTTACAAAAGCGATTCGGTCAAGGACAGTGAGTGATTTTCTTTCTAATGTTTAATTTACATTATTGACACAAATAGCAACAGCAGCTATATTAGGCTGCTTTGGAGGAATAGTTCACCCAAATGTTATGTAACAACATTTGGGTGACAAATGTAACAATGTAACAACAATGTTATGTTCTTGATGTTCTAAACCTGAATGAGTTTCCTTCTGCTGTTGAATGCAAACGTATATATTTGGAACAGTAGCCTACTGGTAACCAAACAGTTTCTGTGCCCCCATGACTTCCATATGGAGAAAAAAAATAATAAATAAACACTATTGGAGTCAACAGGGACCAGAAACTTTCTGGTGGTTACAAATACTCTCAAAATATCTTCTTTTATGTTGAGGAGAACAAAGAAATTCATACAGGTTCAGAACAACTTGAAACTAAGTAAATGATGAAAATATTTTAATTTTTGGGTGAACTATATCCCTTTAAAATCGCATCATATAATTCCAGGATCTCATAATAACCAGCTAGTGCACATGCTTTGTCTTTAACTGTTAACGTTCACTTAAGACACAAATGACTGTGTTGACGAGGAGACAGGCATTTTGACAAAGATGACCAAACCATGGTAATCATTCACTTCTGCAGTTTTCTCATCTGTGAAACCTCATAATAAGTCATAATCTGACAGGAATTTCAAGTCACACCTAAATGATGATAAAACATCACATACCCACACGTGTAAACAAACGCATCCTTTCGCACAACATTACTATTTTAACCACAGCTAGTCATGGTACTGTTAGTCAAAACCCCATAAATGTGACTAAGCCGGTAGAATGGTTATTAGAAAACCATAAAAATATACAAACGTTTATGCATTTATATCTCATTGCAAAACAAAATTTTGCTGTGTGGAAGAGAAGAGTAGGAAGCACTTGTACCAAGGATAGTTTTGACCTTGTAGTTGACATTAAATCAGCTCAGACAGGCCTGCTGCTTTGGTTCTCACAATCTTGTGTAACACTCCCACTGAACCTGATGGATGAGAACAATGCAGTTATGCAGATGTTATTTCATCTTCATTTTTAGGGATTATGATGCAATTTAGTCCATAGACGTTTCGTGAAAAAATATGATGTTGTTTCTTATAGTGGTTGAACTAAAGGCTGTTGGTTCAAATCTACACCTCCATTACCCTAGTAATGTACTGAAAGACACGTTTGTAATCTGGTAGATGAACCAGAGCTAAATAAAGGAATGACTGTTTTACTGATTGAGTGAGTGAGTGAGTGAGTGAGTGAGGAATAATTACATACAAGATAAGACAGGAAACACACCCAGTTTCTGATGATATTCAGACAACAGTGACATTTTAGCTAGTGACAGCATTGTTAGTCATACCAATGCTGTTTGTGCTTCATGTCCACACCAACTCAACAAAATGAGTGAAGCAAGGATTTCAAGCATTCTTATGAAGACAAGTCTGCACAAATCTTTAATAAACCTCTAAAAGAGAGGCAGAAAAGAAGAATTTAGGATGTGTTCATTTAAAGTCTTACATCACCACACCCTTTCCAAAACCAACACAAACACTGAATAAGCCACAGCTTCCTGTATGAGGCCAGCGCATCTGTTTCTGTCAGAGTACAACTGTTTCCTGCCCTCTGCCTCATAATATGCACTTACAATGACTTGCTCTGACCTGTATTTTTTATTTAAATGTTTTTAATGTCGAACAAGAAAAAGCATGTTAAACAAATTAATATACTGTACACATTTCTGAGGCCCCACAATTGAAAATGTATTTTTCTATTTTAATGCAAGTTGTTTTTAATTACAAATTATATTAACAACCTGATAATTTGAGAGAAAAACAAAAAGAATATAACCTTTAATTTTGAATTTTAATTTAATAAATAATCTTATTGAACAATTTTTGCACACACAATTATAAACAAAGAAACACTATGGTGTAAAATGAAATATTTCAAATTATAATATTAAGTATTTAAATTACATTAATAAATATTTTAAAGGGGTGGTTGATTGCGATTTCACTTTTTTAACGTTAGTTTGTGTGTAATGTTGCTGTTTGAGCATAAACAATATCTGCAAAGTTACGAAGTTGAAAGTTCAATGCAAACGGAGATATCGTCTTTTAAAATTATGGCAGGTTAATGCCTACAAAAACGGCTCGTAGGGACTACAACGAGTTACTTCCCGGGTTCGTGACATCACAAACCCTGATAAACCCCGCCCCCGGAAACACGCAATGAAGGGGGCGAGGCCATGCTGCGCTGCTTTAAAGAAGAGGAAGAGAAAACTAGAGGTGCGCGTAAAAATCTATTTATATATGAATCGCAATTCTGTCTTCTAACGATTCTAATGGATTCACAAGTTTCAAAATCAGTGTTCTAAAGCAGCGGTTCTTAATACTGTTCCTCGCGTCCCCTGTTCTGCACACGCTCTGCATCTCTCTCATTCAGATCATCAGCTCAGCTCTGTTCCATTTATACACTTATTTTCACATAGTTTTGAGAAGCGTAATACATGGACACGTGTGCAGTTGCCATACTGTATTAAAGTTTTAATCAGGATAAAACCGTATATTAAAAGCTAACAGAAGCAGCATTCACAAATAACAGCGTATCTAAAAGTATGAGACAACAACAAACAAACATACCATTAAGAGCCGTGTTTGCACAGGTTCTGTGTGATCCTCTTCACTAATATCCTCTCAATCTCAATCGGGCTCAAATTGATAAGCAATATCCCGGAAACACGCAATGAAGGGGGCGAGGCCATGCTGCGCTGCTTTAAAGAAGAGGAAGAGAAAACTAGAGGTGCGCGTAAAAATCTATTTATATATGAATCGCAATTCTGTCTTCTAACGATTCTAATGGATTCACAAGTTTCAAAATCAGTGTTCTAAAGCAGCGGTTCTTAATACTGTTCCTCGCGTCCCCTGTTCTGCACACGCTCTGCATCTCTCTCATTCAGATCATCAGCTCAGCTCTGTTCCATTTATACACTTATTTTCACATAGTTTTGAGAAGCGTAATACATGGACACGTGTGCAGTTGCCATACTGTATTAAAGTTTTAATCAGGATAAAACCATATATTAAAAGCTAACAGAAGCAGCATTCACAAATAACAGCGTATCTAAAAGTATGAGACAACAACAAACAAACATACCATTAAGAGCCGTGTTTGCACAGGTTCTGTGTGATCCTCTTCACTAATATCCTCTCAATCTCAATCGGGCTCAAATTGATAAGTAATATAGACGACGCCATTGTTTACAATACCACCAGAGCACATGCAGCTGAGGTGAGGGCCGGGACATTTAGACGCGCACCAGAGGCGGTTTAGCCAATAACAACACATTGGACTAGCTAACCAATCAGAGTCCATCGCGTATTTCTGAGGGAGGGGCTTCATAAAAGCAGGAAATGATCAGCGTGTTTATCAGAGAAGGGACAGAGCGGTGAAGAATAAAGGTAAATTATGTGAAAAATAATGCGTTTTTTTTTTAAACTAAGCATGATTACATGTTAGACGCCCCATAAACACAATCAAGCCTAGAACAAAACCAGTCAACCACCCCTTTAAAGACTTTTTTCCCTGAAATTTTGAGAAGTGGCTAGTATAGTAT